TTTGTTTCCCCTGCTGGAGCAGATTGGATCATGATTTGCTGTTTTTTTGCCTTCCTCTGAATGAACTGTGGGTATAGGATTGTGTATATGGAGGTTTTTAATGTTTTGTTTTTTTTTTTTTTGCTCCGTGGGTTGAACTGAATGGGTTTGTGTCTTTTTTCAACTAGGCTAACTATGAAACTATGTAAGAGCCAGCTGGACCATTATATAGCGTCACCCCCCCCAACAGGACCTACCTTAATATAGGAACAGGGAACCCCAAAAAACAGTGGCTCCTTTGGAGGTAAGTACTACAAAAGAAATACAAAAGTGCCTGTAAGGCCTCAATGACCTCAGCTCTACTGAACACATTTGGGATGAATTGGAACAGCAATTGTGAGCCAGATCTTCTCATCCAACATGATTACCTGATCTCAAAAAACGGGCAGAGATTTCCACACCTTCCAAAATCTTGTGGGAAGTCTCAGAAGAGGGGAGGCAGTTCTAACCACAAAAGGGATAGAGGGGCAACTCTACTCTAAAGCCTACAGGTTTGGAACATATATCAAGGAAAGTCATATAAAGACTTGGTTTGACCAGTTTGATGTGGAAGAACGCAAGTACAGTATCCTTGACAGAGCTCTGACTTCAACCCTACTGAACACCTTTGCAATCAATTGAAATGTATTAGTATCTGACCTCACAAATGAGCACAAATGTCCACAGACACCCTTCAAAATCTTGTGGAAGCCTTCACAGAAGAGTAGAAGATATTATAGCCACGGGTGGCAGCTCTATGTTAAGGGCCATGAGCGGGTAACTTCATATTAATGGCCATGGATTTGGATTGAGAGTTTATTTACATATTGAGATATTCATTACAGTAGGTGTGATGGTTAGGGGCCACAGACTTTTGGACCTTCTGGAGTATGCAAGTGAGGATAAAGGACACTCAAAGTACGTTGATGTTCTAAATATAACCTGTACCCTCTGTCACATGAGATTGTAAGCTCTGTGATCACACTGCACTTATAGACAGTGGCATCACTAGGATGGTGTCAACTGGTGGGGTAAAACATAGTGTCACCCCCCCCCCCCAAAAAAAAAAAATAAATAAAAAAAATCATATAATAGAGTCCTGTTTAGCCTGACACAGTGCCCTGAGGGGAAACATCGAGATGGGAAATTAGGAGAGAGATGGAGGAAGGGGAGAGATGGAGGGGGGGAGGTGGGGGGAGAGAGAGGGAGGTGAGAAGGAAGAGAGAGAGAGGAGGGAGAGAGGGGAGAGAGAGAGTGAGAGAGAGAAAGGGGGCGTGAGAGAGAGAGGGGTGAGAGAGTGGAGGATGAGAAAGGGAGGAGGGTGAGAGAGAGAGGGGTGAGGGAGTGGAGGATGAGAAAGGGAGGAGGGTGAGAGAGAGAGGGGTGAGAGAGTAGAGGATGAGAAAGGGAGGAGGGTGAGAGAGAGAGGGGTGAGAGAGTGGAGGATGAGAAAGGGAGGAGGGTGAGAGAGAGAGGGGTGAGAGAGTGGAGGATGAGAAAGGGAGGAGGGTGAGAGAGAGAGGGGTGAGGGAGTGGAGGATGAGAAAGGGAGGAGGGTGGGAGAGAGAGGGGTGAGAGAGTGGAGGATGAGAAAGGGAGGAGGGTGTGGGGAGAGAGAGGGGTGAGAGAGTGGAGGAAGAGAGAGAGAGGTGAGCGAGAGGGGAGACTCCCCTATGCCCCAAATACTACACCAGGAGCCCCCCCAAAACTACACCAGTATAATGTCCTATGCAGATTTCAGATGCCTGTAATGTACCTGGATCCTATCAGCAGGGTTCCCTGATCACTACATCAGTCGTGGTGAAGGAGTCAGTGTCTTGTCATGTCATCTAATATCACGGAGTTCTCTCATATACCTGTGATTCCAGAATTTACTGTGAAGTAGTCCCGGGTGAGAACTAGTTGGGTATTGCACCTGACTGCCCTCTTCCTTCTGTGGCCCAAGGGGTGTAGACATACTCACACTGTCCTTTTCATGTAGATTAGTGGGTTGGTGACTGGTTTCAGGCCTTATGCTAGACTGGCTCCTTCCCAGCTGACAGGCTTTCCTCCCTAGGAGACTGTAGGGCAATGGAGATCTTTCTGTACAGCACCAGCCTGTAGGTACGTTCTCCTCCCCTCCTTGGGGCCACCTCCCAGGCTCAACACTCCAGCCTTCTCTTAGTCCATCTTCCACCCGATTCCCCTGCTGCTCAGGCTCTTCCTCATTTAACGGTTGTCTTAGCCCCATGCCAAGTCTCCTGCCTGGGGATTGGCCCGATTACCTCAAACATGCAAATCCAGGCCTCCTACCCTCCTCCACCCCTCTTCTAGAAAATGCCAGAGCTTTCTAGAAGAGTGGGAGTGCCCCAGAGGCCCTGACGTGTAGAGCCTTCCAGCCTGCTTGAGGTAACCTCACCGCTTCAATCCCAGGCTTTTAACAAGCGTCAGACTAACCACAAAATTCCTAACTAAACTAGAGGGCGCTGTAACGGAACCGACCCAGACTGCGCTTCAGTACTTCCGTTAGAATACCGCTTCCCCTTCCAAACGCCGACAACAGACACCACAGCCGACCATACAAGACGAGACGACACCAGTCGACACATGGAACTTTGTATTCTAAACTCAAACTGACTTTTTATACAATACACACTGAGACTGATCACATGATCGTACAATACACACTGAGACTGATCACATGATCATACAATACACACTGAGACCGATCACATGATCATACAATACACACTGAGGCTGATCACGCGATCATACAATACACACTGAGGCTGATCACATGATCATACAATACAAACTGAGACTGATCACATGATCATACAATACACACTGAGGCTGATCACATGATCATACAATACGCACTGAGACTGATCACATGATCATACAATACACACTGAGGCTGATCACGCGATCATACAATACACACTGAGACTGATCACATGATCATACAATACACACTGAGGCTGATCACATGATCATACAATACACACTGAGACCGATCACATGATCATACAATACACACACAGACTGATCACATGATTATACAATACACACTGAGGCTGATCACATGATCATACAATACACACACAGACTGATCACATGATTATACAATACACACTGAGGCTGATCACATGATCATACAATACACACACAGACTGATCACATGATTATATGCACATACAGCTGTATACAGGAATAGACTTCACATTCTACACAGTGAGTTCATTAGGTCAGCTAGCTGGGTGACCCAAACAAATGGTGAATGGGAATCACACCTAGACAATGGTTGGATGAATTAGGATCTCACTACAGAGCAGACGATCCGGCTCCTACACTGGAGTAGAGGAGAGCCCGGCATGATCAGCTCCTTCAATTCACGTCTAATTCAGAATCAACAACCAGGAATAGTCTTCATATGGCTGATAAATATTACTGTCCCATCTGAAGTCATTCCAACCGCATTCTCAGCGTCCATCAGTCACCCTGTGCCCCTGAGAGACACAGGGTGACTTACACATAAGAAGGACATGGGGAGCTGAGACAAGGGTCTCCCAACCTCTGCAAAGTAAGCTGTGTTCCATGAGCCCCCCACCCAAAGTGACTCCCATCACAGGCGTTACATACATACTGTATATATTGGTAATCAGATAAATGTGCATATTGTGAGAAGGAGGGCAGAAACCCCTCTACACCATGCCATATACAGGGTCACTGACAAAAAGCAGCAAAATCTGTGAAAACGTCTTCCATTTCTGTACGGCATTACTTGTCTATTCCTGCCAGGAGACTTGGCACGGCGTCTCCAGAGACAGTTCCTGTGATCATGCAGCTACAAGGTCACCATGTACATGGCTGGACATCCCGCAGATCAGTGAATCAGTAATAAGTAGAACAAGTCCTGCGCATTTCTCTAAATACTGTGCTTAAAGCAAAACTCCGGACTAGAGATCACTGAAATAAAATTGCAACCCTTTCCGTCTTCCCCTCGGCTGATGCAGCACATAATGTTCATTGTGTCTGGTGGATGATCTCATAGAGAGGAATACTTACCTTACTCCAGTGCCGGGACAAGGTCATATAGAGCCCCCCAAGATCTATGAGCATTATGTTTCAGCAAGTATCCCCTCCCCCCAAAAAATAATTGAGCACTAATCTGCATGCTTACCCCCTAAGCATAAATTTGCCCTCCTCCCAGTACAAATCTGCCCCCTGTTGAAATCCCCCCTCCCCAGCAGAAATATTTGCCTCCCTCCCCCAATCACCCCTCCTAGCACAAATCCTCTACCCTTCAAATTTCCCATCTGAGCACAAATCCTCTCCCTCACACTCCAAAGCCTCCTCCCAGCACAAATTCTCCCCCCAAATTTCCCCTCCAAACACAAATCCTCTCCAATCATCCCTAACAGCACAAATTCCTCCTTCCCCCCAAACAAAAATTCCCCTCCTAGCACAAATCCTCTCCCCCCTGTACCATATGACCTCTTCAAGCACAAACCCCCCAAATCATCCTCCTAGCACAAATCTTCTTCCCCATCCCCCTCCCAACACAAATCCCCCCAAATCACCACTCGTAGCGCCCCCTCCCAAATTTCCCCTCCTAGAACATCTTTTACCCCCTGCCATCCCCCAAATACCCTCTCCCAAGAAAAATCCCCTCCACCAATCTCCTTGAAGTCCCCCCCACCTCACTTGATATCACAGTGCCCATGGCAGCCGCCCCTCTGCCCACTCCTTGATATGGCCCTGCCTTACTCTAAGGTCCTGCTGGAACCCCTTTCCTCCTCCGCTGCATTGTATGTGATGAGCAAAAATCCAGCTTTCTCAAAAAATATAAAAAATATAGTTTCATTTCATCCATCACATAAAAGGAGAATCAGTACCAGAGCCTATTGGCATGTTTCCGCCTCCCACAGAGGCCCGTGATAGTACTGCCGTCATCCAGGCACGCTCCTCTCCATCCCATCCTGATGATGGCTGTGGGCTTTTGGGGTAGCAGCACCACCTCTGGTGTTGTATGTGATGAGGTCAGTCTGAAGGGTGGTGACAAGAATGGTCGGAAATCAGCAAGAAAAGTGGCAGAACCTGCAAAAGCAGTAGGAAGGAGGACTACCGGTGTTCTGGAACACTTATCACCCATCGCCCTTGCAGTGGGTTCATTATGTAATGTATACACCTGTGGCCATGGAGGGGATTGGAACACCTGAATCACATGATTTGGAGGGGATTGGAGCACCTGAATCACATGATTTGGAGGGGATTGGAGCACCTGAATCACATGATTTGGAGGGCTGGCCCAATACAATTGGCAATATAGTGTATGTCAATGCATAAGGCCTAATACAGTACAACAGGGTTATATTCTGATTCAGCTTGGAGGACACATTCTAATGGTCTGATGCCTCACCTTGAGTTAAAGGAGTGTTCTCCTCTCTGGCCACAAGGGCTTTCATCATGGTGCTCTTGTAGTCTTCGCACTAGAAGACATCTGATAACAACCAGTATCCATCATCAGTAGTCATTTTCATCGGCCTTTTGGCTAAGATTAAGTGTAGTATCTGTTCTTATCAGTGTCCAGTGGGGGTGCTCCCGGCCATTCTAGTTTTGCGGGGATGGCTGTTGTATAGTATCCTCACTGGTATGATGGGGGTCTGGAAGGCTAGTACCGGGGGGACAGAAACCGGGGAGCCCACGAGTTAAGCTGGGGCCCTGGGAGTAATTCCCCCGAGGAGACCGGAAGGACCCAGTACCTCCTGATTTGGACGGATCTACCTTGTCTGGCCAGGGGCTGAGAAGGCAGAAAGTCCGCAAACTCAGTGCCCCCTGAGTAGACGCCCTCAGGGGTGCCACTAGTAACACCTGGGTGTGGGACCCCACTGTGTGAACATGGCACAAGGTCACTGTTTTTACACTCTTTTTGCACAGCGCCCTAAGGACCAGGCCTTTTGGCTAAGTCCAGGGCAATTTTTGCTACGGGCCTCAGGGCCTGGTCTGTGCACAATTTGGCACGGTACCACTTTTTTATTTTCTATTTATTTAATCACTCCCACGTTTGTCACTTTTTTCTGCTTTTGTGTGTGTTTTTCACAGGATGGAGGGTGTGGGTCCTTGGGCCTTCCCTGAAGTCTAGGGGGAGGATGTGTGGCCTTTTGGTTCCTTCCTCCCCTGATCCCTAGGGGGTTTTCTCTCCGGGAGAGCCCCCTGACCAAGTACTGGATGTCCGGCTTCGGCTGGACATAAGGAACGGTGGTCCACCAGGCCTTTTGGCCAGGAGGACCAAATGGGAACCTTGTCCCTGTCAGGAGCTTTGTGCCCCGGGGGATCAGGGTAGTGGTCCAACCCCTTCGGGGGTAGGACAAAAGCACACCCCTAAGTGCACTTTTTCGTGTGGTGTTCGCACTTGCACTTTTTTTGTGATCACTTACGGGTTTTTCCGTTGTAGTTTGCACATTTGCGGACTTAAAAAAAAAAAAAAAAAGTAGTCATTTTCACAAATATGGATACTTCATGTTTATATTTCCATCCAGCAGGAGGTGCTGTTGGCTCTTTTGTCCATAGGTACCAGGTTAACCTTAGCTGCTTTGCTGGAAAAAAATCTATTGTTTAGCTCAACACTCAAGCTTAACAATCTAAGCATTGGCCTAGAACTTTAAGAGTTTCCTAAAAAGCTTTTTAACTTTTTTAATAGCTTAATTAAAAATCTCAAACTTTTTTAATAATGTTATAATTTTTTTTTCCACGAGCCTTTCCAATGCCCAAGCATGTAAGCTCAGTGGAGCACTTTAATGCACTCCAGCAGCTGTTTTACTCTCCCCTTCCACTAAAAATGTATCCTAAGCAGGCAAAATATGACTTTTTATTGAAAGTCAACAGCTAAGCCTTCCTCCCTTAGATTTGGTGGCTGCATTCTTTTTCTTTTTCTAGTTTTTCAGATTTTTTTTACCCTTGTTTTCAACTGGTGATCCTGCCAGTAACACACTTCTTGTCCTAGGGTGACAAAGCGCTCTCCCCCTACTGTATCTATGGAGGGGCACCATTGTCACCCTAGGGCAGGACTATAGAACATGTCCTCATTTTCTCATCTTCATGACATAGAGGAGAGGTGTTCTGAAGCTCTCAGAGAAAGCTGTGAACAATGTAACTGATAAGAGTGCCGAACAACCAGAGAAGACAGGAAGTTCAGCTCACACGATTTCTGGCAGGATCAACTGGGATTTTTATTTTATAACAAAACCCTTTCAGTGGGGTATTTTACAGACCAAAAGGGAACCAATAAGAGAGGTTCATTGTTGGGGTTTGCATGTGTCTACAGTAGAAGGTGAATCCTTTAACAGATTGAATCATTCATTCAGAAAATATGAAAGTATTTTACACCAGTATAAGCACCTGAATTATCTCTTAAATGTTAATCTTCCCATAAGCCCTGTACATTGGACTTCAAAGTGGGAGTGTCATCCCTGTGGGCCAATCAAAGTCTTCCGCTCTGCTCAGTGCTATCATCTTAAATGGACTGTAAACCTCAATGGATCTTTCCACATATCTAGGCTGGGAATTTCCTCCCGAATCAGAGAACAGAATATCCTTCCAAATACCTTTATAAATAGCATTTTTTCCCAGGTCACATGGTCATTCCTGATCCAATCAGCACGGGTGATGGGTGGGACCACCCGGCCCTGTCATGAATTGCCATGCCAGGAGGAGCTGCTGTTAATCGAACACAATTAGAATGGGTTCACGAGTGGCAGAGGGGTGGTAAACAGGTAGTTGATCCGTGTTTTTATCGTCCCTTGACTACCCACCTCCATGGCGGACATAGCGGTTGCTTAGGTGAGTGCATACTGCTGCAGCCATGATGCTTAGCTTCACAGTGTCGTAATTTTAAAATGGCTGTTAAAGTCTATGGGACAGTACTGCAAAAACCCCTTTGGCTATAAAAAAAAAAAAAAAAAAAAGATACAAAAATTTAAAAAACAAGCATTGAAGAGGCAGCAGTGTCCCCTCCTGAATGCCTGCAAACTGCATTGAAATCCGGTCAATCACTTTTCAGAAGGACGGTAGGAGCTGCTGCATGTGTGAATGAAGCTCTACCAGCTCTGTCAGGCTTCCAGCATCCCGTATCACCAGCAGCACTACCTTATGGGGCAGGAGAGATTGACCGTGGCTCCTCCTGCAATTTATGGCAGGGAGGACTGTCCCTACTCACCCTCCGGGCCATTTGGTTTAGAGCAGAGTAAGCAATAGACATGGATTGTTTTATGTTCTGAAACACACGCACAAGCAGTGGCAGCACTGCAGAGGGTAGGTGACCCATAGGAGGAAGAGAATGTCAGTGGCATGTAGGACCCTGCTCTGTCTCCCTGCATTGGGTTGAATGGTTGTTCTTTGTTTGGCCTTTAGGGGTCTGCCAAGGCTTCGTGTGGGGCCATATATACAGAGGCGTCAAGAGGAGTTGGAGAAGTGTTGGTGGTGGAGTACTAGAGGCAGGGAGGAGCACCAGCACTCATAGTGGGCAGCATTGTGGATAAATGGTTAGCACTTTTGCCTGGCAGTGCTAGGGTTATTGGTTTGAATCCCAGCCATGACACCTCTTGCCTGGAGTTTGCATGTTCTCCCTGTGCCTTCATGGGTTTCCTCCCACACTCCAAAGATATTCTAGTAGGTTAATTGGATCCTGTCTAAATTGGCCCTAGTATACAGTATGTACTGTATGTATGTATGTATGCAAGTTAGGGACCTTAGATTTTATGCCCATTGAGGGTTAGGGACTGATACATACAATATATATATATGATGTAAAAGCGCTGTGTAAATTTATGGTGCAGAAGTACCTGAAGTGGCTGAGGCATTCACCAGCCACATGTATATGCTCCTTTTGTACATGTGTACAGTGATGGCTTTCTGGCAGGAGAGCTTAGACAAGGATCCAAACATGTCTGAGCTTATGCTCAGTAGAGAGCAGATAGAAAGGACAGGTGTTCGTGATTTGGTCCTCATGGGAATCCAAGGGCCTCACCAGAACTCACCATGTAATACACTGGACCTTGGCTTCCCTCTTCCTACCCTCAAGTAGGCCAGGCCAGGGTAGGTGGAGGACTGCTTGTTAAAGACTGTTGCAGAGTGGGCCTAGGGTAGAACTTTATGCAACCAAGAAGAGCTTCTCATGTGTTTACCTTAGCTATGTGTGTCTTTTATAAAACCATGAAGACATTACACTGTGTTGTGTGTTGGGCAAATTCTCATTCAGTAAAGAGAAATCAGAATTTGGAGTGAGTTTCTTCCTAAGGTCAGTGGCCTATATCTGGGAGCCTTATGAAGAACATGAATCAATCAGAGACGATGGTGAGTCATTGTGTCTTCATCATGCACCAAGGTAGTTGGCATTACTCTCTAGAAACCAGGTTGGCAATGACAAGAGATGGGTCCATCTAAACTATTTGCCGGTTTCCCTGATGGGCCTGTAGGCTGTAAAAAGAGTGAGCTAGCACTTGTGATGGAGATAACCTATGTCCCTAGTATGATGTTCATGACACTTGGGATGGAGGTCTCCTATGTCCCTAGTATGATGTTCTAGACACTTGAGATTGAGGTCTCCAATGTCCTTAGTATGATGTTCAGGACACTTTGGATGGAGGTCTCCTATATCCCTAATATGATGTTCAGAACAAGTGGGATGGAAGTCTCCTAAGTCCCTAGTATGGTGTTCTAAACACTTTGGATAAAGGTCTTCTATGATGATGTTCAAGATACTTAGGATGGAGGTCTCTTGTGTCCATAGTATGATTCTTCGGAAACTTGGAATGGAGGTCTCCTATGTGCCTAGAATGATGTTATGGACACTTTGGATGGAAGTCTCCTATGTCCCTAATATGATGTTCAGAACACTTGGGGTGGAAGTCTCCTATGTCCTTAGTATGATGTTCAGGACACTTGGGGTGGAAGTCTCATATGTCCCTAGTATGATGTTCTAGATACTTGGAATGGAGGTCTCTTATGTGCCTAGTATGATGTGGACACTTTGGATGGAAGTGTTCTTCCAGCACATTGGACATTGGCGAGTTCTGACCAGTAATAGGATAACTAGTGTGAAGGGCCTAATATAGTATTGGGCAATGAATGCTTCAGGGATTGGAAGGGGATTTGAGTTTGAAGTGGTGGTGTTTCAGGCACTGGGGGCAGGAGGCAAAGGTGTTTTAGGCATCGAGGGGTGAAGATAGATGTATTTAGGATGCTTTCAGAAGGAAATGGGACTTCATATACAGTAGTTCTGTGAGTAGAATTGAGAAGTGGAAAGGGAAGCTTTGGAGATGCACCCTCAGGCTTCTCTAGCAGAGAGGTATGAATCACGAGACTGGCTGAACAGAAGACATAATACTTCACAATCACCAGGTCTCTATTGTACAGTAAATAACACTGACACACAATTAATAAAATTGGTGGATTAATTTGCATTTATTAAAGTGGATGCACGGTGATATACAGAATATATTATATATGTTCTCATTCATAGGATATCATAGCAGATATACACATAGACATACACAGCAGATTAGTATACAAGCCGTTCAGCACCATTATATACAGAGAAATGCAGATATACATTATAGCCGGCTTCTACGAATGGCAAATGCAGCAAGACAGAGTTTGAGGCTTCCTGAGATGCAGAGTTCCCCAGTCCGTGAGGTATGAAGTGTCAGCTCTGTGTACCAGCCTGGGAGGTATGAAGTGTTAGCTCTGTGTACTAGCCTGGGAGGGATGAAGTGTCAGCTCTGTGTACCAGCCCAAGAGGTACGAAGTGTCAGCTCTGTGTACCAGCCCAAGAAGTACAAAGTGTCAGCTCTGTGTACCAGCCCAGTAGGTATGGGATGTAAGCTCTGTGTACCAGCCTGGTGGTATAAAGTGTCAGCTCTGTGTACCAGCCCAGTAGGTATGGGATGTCAGCTCTGTGTACCAGCCCAGTAGGTATGGGATGTAAGCTCTGTGTACCAGCCTGGAGGTATAAAGTGTCAGCTTTGAGTGAACAATGTCAAAATCTCCCGGGCATAGGTGTGGAGGGCTGGAAATACAAACAAAAGTGTCAAGTGGAGCTCCGATGTCTATCTGGATTAATGCACTAGGCCCGTGCACTCTTGTTTCATTTTACCTGCAGTACTGTCAGCTCTGTGTACCAGTCTGGGAGGTATGAAGTGTCAGCTCTGTGTTCCAGTCTGAGGTATGAAGTGTCAGTTCTCTGTACCAGTCTGGGAGGTATGAAGTGTCAGTTCTGTGTACTAGCCTGGGTGGTATGAAGTGTCAGCTCTGTGTACTAGCCTAGGTGGTATGAAGTGTCAGCTCTGTGTACCAGTCTGAGAGGTATGAAGTGTCAGCTCTGTGTACTAGCCTAGGTGGTATGAAGTGTCAGCTCTGTGTACCAGTCTGGGAGGTATGAAGTGTCAGCTCTGTGTACAAGTCTGGGAAGTATGAAGTGTCAGCTCTGTGTACCAGTCAGGGAGGGATGAAGTGTCAGCTCTGTGTACTAGTCTGGGAGGGATGAAGTGTCAGCTCTGTGTACTAGTCTGGGTGGTATGAAGTGTCAGCTCTGTGTACCAGTCTGGGAGGTATGAAGTGTCAGCTCTGTGTACCAGCCTAGAGGTATGAAGTGTCAGCTCTGTGTACCAGCCAGGGAGGAATGAAATGTCAGCTCTGTGTACAAGCCTAGAGGTATAAAGTGTCAGCTCTGTGTACCAGTCTGGGAGGTATGACGTTTCAGCTTTGTGTACCAGTCTGGGAGGTATGAAGTGTCAGCTCTGTGTACCAGTCTGGAGGTATGAAGTGTCAGCTCTGTGTACCAGTCTGGGAGGTATGAAGTGTCTGCTCTGTGTACCAGTCTGGAGGTATGAAGTGTCAGCTCTGTGTACCAGTCTGGGAAGTATGAAGTTTCAGCTTTGTGTATCAGTCTGGGAGGTATGAAGTGTCAGCTCTGTGTACCAGCCTGGAGGTATGAAGTGTCAGCTCTGTGTACCAGTCTGGGAAGTATGAAGTTTCAGCTTTGTGTATCAGTCTGGGAGGTAAGAAGTGTAAGCTCTGTGTACCAGTCTGGGAGGGATTAAGTGTCAGCTCTGTGTACCAGTCTGGAAGGGATTAAGTGTCAGCTCTGTGTATCAGTCTGGGAGGTAAGAAGTGTCAGCTCTGTGTACCAGTCTGGGAGGTATGAAGTGTCAGCTCTGTGTACCAGTCTGGGTGGTATGAAATGCTAGCTCTTTGTACCAGTCTGGGAAGGATGAGGTATTAGCTCTGTGTACCAGCCCAGTAGGTACAGGATTTAAGCTCTGTGTACCAAATCTGAAGATATGAAGTGTCAGCTCTGCGTACTAGCCTAGGTGGTATGAAGTGTCAGCTTTGTGTACCAGCCTGGAGGGAATAAAGTGTTATCTCTTTGTACCAATCCGGGAGGTATTAGGAAATTATTGCAGTTGAAGATGCAGCATGTTTTCCCTTCCTGATAGTAAAGTTTATTTTGTATAAATTCCCAAAAGTATTCATAGTTATATTATAGAGATAAATAAGCCCCCTCCCCCATCCCCACCCCATATTCATATTGCTGTTAGTTCCAGAATATTCCTATTAGTCCTGTCCTGGTCCTTGTCCTTCATCGCGCACCCCTTACCCGCGTGCTGGGCTTCGCGCTCAGACGTCTCTTTGGCGACTTTTTGATGACATCATGAAGAGATGGCTCCTTATAGAGAGCAACTGAAAGACGAGGAGATCAGAGAGAGAATCCGACAGAGAGAAGGAAAAGATGGGGAAGGGAAGGGACAGGAAGAGAATGAAGGTGGAAGGTAATGGAATGACAAAGGGAAAGGAAATAGAAAGAGAAGAAAGAAGGCAATAGAAAGAAAGGAACAAGAAAGGAGGAAAGGAAAAGGAAAGAAGGGTAAGGGAAGGAAATGAAAAGGCAGGAAGGAAAAGAGAAGAAGGGAAAGGATAAGAAATTAAGTATGGAAGGAGAGGAATATAAGGAGGAAAGAAAAAAAAAACGGAAGGTGATATAATAAGGAGAAAAGATGGAATGAAATGGAAGGAATATAGAGCCAAAGAAGTAGGAGGTTAGGAATAATAAGAAGGGAAGTAAGGAAGGGAATCAAAACGAAAGAAAGAAAGAAAGAAAGAAAGAAAGAAAGAAAGAAAGGGATGGGAGGAATGTAAAGAGAAGGGAGGGTAAAAAAGGGAAAGAAAATAAGGAGGAATATAAAGAAAAAAGGGAGAAAGGTACGAGATGGAAAACACAGAGAAAGGAAATAAAGGAAGGGGAGGATTATGAAGATAAAGTAATTAAGATAAAAAAAAGAAATGAAAAAAAAAGGAAGTAAGCAAAGGGAGGAATATAAAGATAAAGTAAGTAAAGGAAAGAGGGGATATAAAGACAAAGTAAGTAAAGGAAGGGGAAGAATATATAGGAAAAGAAAGGGAAGAAAAATAAAGAAAAAGGAAATAAAGGAAAGAGGGAATATGAAGACAAAGTAAGTGAGGGAAAGGTAAAAATTAAAGAAAAAGAACATAAGGAAAGGGGAAGAATATAAAGTAAGGGAAGGAAATAAAGAGAAAGTAAGTGGGGGGAGGGGGGTAACAAGAGAAAGGGAATAAGGGAAGGAGGGAATATAAAGAAAAAGTTAGTAAGGGAAGGGGAGCAAAATAAAGATAAAAAAAAATAGGAAAGGGGAGGAATGTTATGAGAAAGGAAGTAAGAAAGGGAAAGAATATGAAAAAAAGAAAATAAAGGAAGGGGAGAAATAAAAAGTAAAAGTAAAGAAAGGAAAATAAAGTGAAAGTAAGTAAGGGAATGGGAGAAATATAAAGGTCAAGTAAGTAAGGAAGGGAAGGAAAACAAAACAATACGGAGAGAAAGGAAATAAGGGAAGGGTAGAAAATAGAAAAAAAGGAAGCAAGGGAAGGGAGGAATATGAAGACAAAGTAAGCAAGGGGAAAAAGAAAAAAAGAAGTAAGGGAAGGAAGGAAAATTAATAGAGAAAAGAAGAAAAAAATGGAATGTAAGTAAGGAATGGGGAGGAATATAAGAATAAAATAAGGGAAGGAAATAAAAGAGAAGGTGGAGGAAGAGGGGGGGGGGGTATAAAAAGAGAAAAGGAGTAAGGGAAGGGGAAAAATATAATCAGTAGGTAAGGGAAGTATGAGATAGAACACAAGGAATTAGGGAAGGGAAGGAATATAAAGAGAAAAAAAAATAGGTGAAGGGGAGGAATAAAAAGGTAAATGAAGGAGAAAAAAAATAAATAGGAAAAGCAAGGGAATGAAAATAAAGAAAAAGGAAATAAAGGAAAGAAGGGAATATGAAGACAAAGTAAGCAAGGGAAAGGTTGAAATTAAAGAAAAAATAGATAAGGAAAGGCGAGGAATAGATAAAGTAAGGGAAGGAAATAGAGAGAAAGTAAGTGTGGGGGGTGGGGATAACAAGAGAAAGGGAATAAGGGAAGGAGGGAATATAAAGAGAAAGTAAGGGAAGGGAGGAGAATATAAAGAGAATGGGAACAAAGGAAGGGTAGAAATATAAAGAGAAATTAAGTAAGGGAAGGGGGCAATAAAAAGATAAAAAAAATTGAAATGGGGAGGAATATTATGAGAAAGGAAGTAAGGAAGGGAAAGAACATGAAAAAAAAAAAAAAAAAAGGGAAGGGGAGAAAAATAGTGGAAAAGTAAAGAAGGGACAATAAAGAAAAAGCAAGCAAGGGAATGTGAGAAATATAAAAGATGAAGTAAGTAAGGAAGGGAAGAAAAAAAAAAAAGAAAGTAAGGGAAGAGTAGGAATATGAAGAGAAAGGAAATAAGGGAAAGGTAGAAATATAAAAAAGGAAGCAAGGGAAGGGGAGGAATATGAAGACAAAGTAAGGAAGGGGAATCATAAAAAGAAGTAAGGGAAGGAGGGGAATATATAGAGAAAAGAGGAAAGGCATGGTATGGGAAATGAAGAGAAAGTAAGTGGGTTGGGGAGGATTATACAGAGGAGGTAATGGAAGAGGAGGAATGTAAGGAGAAAGGAAATAAGGACAGAAAAAAGAAAGTGAATGGTATCGGTAGAAATGTAGGTGAAGGAGAAAGAGCAGAACCACAGATACAGAGACAGAAGGGAAGAAAGAGAGTTTCAAGTAAAAGTTATGAGCTGAATTTCCATCTAAACCATTTCCCCATCCCCCCATCCCCCCATATACAGTCAGTTACTTACCCTCACTGAGTTTGGGCAGGAAGTGGGCAGCGGGTCTGTGCCGCTTCACCCGGTTGCCCTCCATGGCCCGTCCATCTTTTCTGAGGCCCAGGTACCATCCGCGACCAGAGCTGCGCTGGCGGTAAAGCGTGGATGAGTAGGTGACAAAGTAATTGTCGAAGACGCTCTCCTTGAAGCGACACTCGGCTGTAAAATGAAGCTGCAGGAAAGAATGGGGGAGGGGGAAAGATCATCTGTGGTCAGCTGTCAGGAGATAGTTTGTGTATCTCTAGTGAGTACACTTTCTACATTGTTATATATTTTAAATTAAAGTTGAATTCCAGATTTATAAAAAAAAAAATAGTTATGTTTGTGTTGTGTTATTTTAAAGTTTTGTCTCTGCCCCTCCCACAATGGTGAGATTTTCCTGCAGCAGTTTGTGTCTCTGCCCCTCCCACAATGGAAGGACTTCCCCCCAGTAGATTGTGTTTTGCCCATTCCCACAATGGTAAGTTTTCCCTGCAATAGTTTGTGTCTCTGCCCCTCCCACAATAGGGAAACTTCCCTGCAGTAGTTTGTGTCTCTGCCCCTCCCACAATGGGGAGATTTCCCTGCAGTAGTTTCTTTCTCTGCCCCTCCCACAATGGTAAGTTTTCCCTGCTGTAGTTTGTGTCTCTGCCCCTCCCAAAATGGGTAGATTTCTCTGTAGTAGTTTGTGTTTTTGCCCCTCCTACTACCGTATGAAGAGATATCCCCCCAGGCGTTTGTGTCTCTGCCCCTCCCACAGTGGTGAGATCTTCCTGCAGTAGTATGAGTCTCAGCCCCTCCCACAATGGGGAGATTTCCCCACAGTAGTTTGTGCCTCTGCCCCTCCCACAGTTGTGAGACCTTCCTGCAGTAGTTTGTGTCTTTGCCTCTTCTAGAAGGCCATTCTATGAGACTCCACTGTGGAAGATAGAAACTATCACTAAGCTTGTATTGGTCAAAGAACTGAGCATTCAGATAGGGAAGTCTCACTACTGGAGTCTGAGATATCAATATCGTGTAGAACAGCAGTGGAACATCAGGTCCTCTAATGGCTCATAACATTAATTTGTGTTCTGTTCAGTCAAGAATGGTTTGAGTAAATTATAGGATGCATGTGTGATGGGTCCTACTGAAGAAGTTGCTTTTCCTGGCAGTAGTCAATAATGTCTCCCTTGCATGCTCCATGTAAAGAATAGCTGCATGAATCAGACACTTTGTACCCCAGCCTCATGGTGCCTAGTGTTCATTTCCTGTCCAGGAGACAGATTGACTGAGACATCCTTGAGTTTCAGAGTCTACTCTTTGAGGTGTTGCTGTTAGATTGCAGAAGACAGTTTAACCGTAATTGCTCTTTAACATTGGCATCTTGAGAAGCCCTAATCAGTATCTCAAGAAACCTTGAAGACCCTGAGATCTTGGTTCCCATTGGAATAGGTGGGGAACCATAATCATGTTCATATTATTTATTTCCTGGAGGCTTCATACTCAGAAGATACTCACCGATCCATAGAGGCAGCCCTCAGAATTCATGGCAATATACTGGCCACAGGCCGAGCTCTGGATGGCCACCACCCGAAGACCCACAGGGATGACGTTGAAGAGAGCTAGAACAGGAAGAAAATAAAGGTTATGGAAAGAGGAGCAGACACATGAAACTAACTTCTTGAACATTACAAATTCTGCATTTTTGTTCCAGGCCACCTTCTTCCCTTAAAACTGTCACCTTATGAAAAACAATTTGATGTCCTGTGGCAGGGAATTCCAAGTTCTGCCCATAACAGAGTCTGTTCTTCATTGAGGGACCTGGATACACCCTCATAAGGTTATTCTCAGCCCTGACATCCTTTGCTCTTCTCCACTATACTCACATTCTTCCCAGCATTCCTTCATAGTGTCATGTGTAGTTAGTTTCCACCAATACACCTCTATCCTGCCCTTCTTGTTCTATTCAAGAGGCTGAAAAATATTTGCTACATCGGACTGACAGGATGTTGCTTTAAGTAGGCACAGCAGCTCTTAGGTGGGACCTCCAATAACCTGCTGCATCAGGAAAAATAAAAAGCTTACAAACTTTAGAATACTTGATCATCACCCCTTTAAGAGCTTCTTGGACATTATGTTGCAAAAAAGCATTAATATGGAGTTGACCCCATCATTTAGCTAGAACAGACACCACTCTTCTACATCCCATTCCAAATCCATGGCCATTAATATGGAGTTGCCCCCATCATTTAGCTAGAACAGACACCACTCTTCTACATCCCATTCCAAATCCATGGCCATTAATATGGAGTTGCCCCCATCGTTTTCCTAGAACAGACACCACTCTTCTACATCCCATTCCAAATCCGTAGCTATTAATATGGAGTGGCCCCCATCTTTCAGCTACGACACCACTCTTCTACATCCCATTCAAAATTTGTGGCCATTAATATGGAGTTGCCCCCATCGTGCAGCTAGAACAGATGCCACTCTTCTACATCCCATTCCAAATCCGTGGCTATTAATATGGAGTTGCCCCCATCTTTCAGCTAGAACAGATGCCACTCTTCTACATCCCATTCCAAATCCATGGCCATTAATATGGAGCTGTTTCCCTTTGCAGTTTTTCAGAGTCTCCTCTCTTCTGGGAAGACTTTCCACAAAGCTTTGGAATGTGCCTGTGGGAATTTATGAGGTAAGGTATTAATGATGGATGAGAAGATGTGGCTCACAATTGGCATTCCAATTCATCTCAAAGATGTTCAGTAGGGTTGCGATCAGGGATCTGTGCAGGACATTCGAGTTCCTCCACACCAAATTCATGTGGAGTTGGCTTCACTTATCTGGGAAGACATTCCACAAGATTTTTGGTATCTGTGGGAATGTGTGGCCATTTGTGATGTCAGGTACTGATGTTGGATAAGAAAACCGGACTCATAATCGGCATTCCAATGCATCTCAAACATGTTCAGTAGGGTTGAGGTCAGGACTTTGTGCAGGACACTCGATTTCCTCCACACCAAACTGGTCAAACCACGTCTTTATGGAGCTGGATTTGTACACAGGGGACAGTCATGGTGGAACAGAAAAGGGTCTTCACTAAACTGTTACCACAATGTTGGAAGAGCACAATTGTCTTCAATGTCTTTGTATGATTGTAAGCTCCCAGGATCAGGCCCTCCTAACCCTCTTGTATTGATCTGTATTATAGCTGTGTTATCTCCCTTTATATTGTAAAGCGCTGAGCAAACTGTTGGCGCCATAAATCCTGTATAATAATAATAATGGAGTATTACCAGGACCCTTCACTGGCAACACCTTAGTCATCACTGGCAGCATCTTAGTCCAATAATTGGGAGGAGATTTTGCATACCTTTGGTCATATAGATCATGATTATGTTATCTCTAGATAATTTATTTCATAAATAAGATACATATATAAAGCACACATGAAAGAGATAATGTGAAAGAGAACAGATTAAGCTCTGAAGCTTATTTTTTAAAAAGCCTTTTGATATTTGACCACTAGATGGTGACACAGGTTCTGCCCGAGACCAGAATGTCTGTAAAGGGTTTCCTAGAAGTTTGGGTTTGGAAGTTAAAGCCCAATTCTGGGCAAAAAAAAAATCCCCCTCCAGTGGGTTGTACCCACACTGTAAGAAGGAGTGTATTTAGAATAAGTGCTGCCCTAGGCAACACAATACATTGGAATGCTAATTGTGATTTTTTTTTTAGGGTAGCCTGAGAAAAAATAGGGCTAGTGGTCCTCCTTTACCCCTGGTCCCACCACGTGAAAGGGGTATTTTCTCACCCGGCAATTTGATAAGAGCCTGTCTATTATTTAACAGATAGGCAGTTTATGGACATGAGTGAAATCTGTGTCCGGTATACCATGTTTTTGGAGGTCAATGTGCATCTCTATGAGTGCAAAGCATATCTACTCTCTGAAATAAATTGAAACATACATGTTAAACCCATTATGCATTATTAATGCTACCAGGGTGCAAACAGAGGGAGCGGAACAAAGATGCTATTTCTTGCCACAATAAAATGACACATTATATGAGAACGGCATAGTCTTCAGTAGAAGCGGAGGAGAATGAGGATACCTAGAAGGCCATGATAAACTACACAATAAATAAAGGGCAAATTCCATTTGCACTCAGTGAGCTTGGGGCGTTCTCTGGGACCAAATGATTAATAGGTGCAGGTGAGCTGTATAATAGCATCCTAATAGATTGGGGACTGAGAGACCCCCTTGAGAGACCTGGGCTTGGAGGACACTGCAACCTATTCTAGGTCTCCTCTGGTGCCAAATAAACTTGTACATCCCTCGTTGCAATGATTTCAGGTCAGCAGAGTAAACTCTGGCTGGTAGGGTAGATAACGGAAAAAAAAAAATTTTGGTAGTATATTAATTGTGAAAGAGATCATCGTCTCAAACCAAGAAATAGAAGTCCCATTTTAAGAGGTTCTGTGGGGCCTTAGCAAACAAAGGAGGGAAGTTACGTGCATATAGAGTGCTAAAAGAAGACATGATATTAGCACCCAGATTCATAATAGAGCCTCCTTGCCATTTGAATGGGGAAGTTGGATTTAACTTAATGGAGTTCCGGGCCCACCAGACGTAAAGGTAGAATCTTCAGCTTATCCTCATCTACTTTGGTATGGGCAGCTTTAGACTTCAGAAGTGTAGAGGGAGATATAGAGGTAGAACCTCCGACTTATCCTCATTGACCTTAGTATGGGCAGCTTTAGACTTCAGATGTGTAGTGGGGAATGTAGAGGTAGAACCTCTGACCTGTCCTCATTTACCTTGGTATGGGTAGCTTTAGACTTTGGAAGTGTAGAGGGGGATGTAGAGGTAGACCCTCTGACCTGTCCTCATTTACCTTGGTATGGGTAGCTTTAGACTTTGGAAGTGTAGAGGGGGATGTAGAGGTAGACCCTCTGACCTGTCCTCATTTATCTTGATATGGGTAGCTTTAGACTTTGGAAGTGTAGAGGGAGATGTAGAGGCAGAACCTCTGACGTGTCCTCATTTACCTTGGTATGGGTAGCTTTAGACTTTGGAAGTGTAGAGGGAGATGTAGAGGTAGACCCTCTGACCTGTCCTCATATACCTTGATATGGGTAGCTTTAGACTTCAGAAGTGTAGAGGGGGATGTAGAGGCAGAACCTCTGACTTGTCCTCATTTACCTTGGTATGGGTAGCTTTAGACTTCAGAAGTGGAGAGGGGAATGTAGAGGTAGAACCTCTGACTTGTCCTCATTTACCTTGGTATGGGTAGCTTTAGATTTTGGAAGTGTAGAGCGAGATGTAAATGTAGAATCTCTGACTTGTCCTCATTTACCTTGGTATGGGTAGCTTTAGACTTTGGAAGTGTCAGGATGAAGACACAGGGGCACTACTCAGTCTCAACCCTAAATGTTCACAAAGCTTCTCAAATGGCACTTGTGGGAAGTGTTGGGTTGCAGTTTGTTCACCAACCTGAAGGTGAGAGTGTGCTGCATCTTGAAGCTGACGGAAAACTACTGGAGACTAATTTGCCCCCTACTATGGGCTCCAGGCAGCCAACATGAGCTGGCCAGCATCTCCTATTGGATGTCAAAATGTGGGGGGCCATCTTGATGCAGAAGTACACAAATAGCAGTTTCTGCATCATTCAACTCAGCTGCAGTGTTGGATTAGGTCAGGGATAGAACCCTGCATGTTAGGGAGAGAGTAGGAGCAATGACAGGGAGCGGTATCTGACGAGAAAGGAAAGAGTAATTTCCCCCTTACAGGGTATATCTTCTCCCACCATCTTGGAATTGTCTCTCACTATAAGCAGGACAAACTGCAGGAACTTTGGAGATCTCAGGATGGTTCATTGATCTGGATACTTCCTCCAAGGGAAATGCTCCTCCGAAGGAAGTGCTACTGCAAAGGAAGTGCTCCTCCAAGGGAAGTGCTCCTCCAAAGGAAGTGCTCCTCCAAAGGAAGTGCTCCTCCAAAGGAAGAGCTCCTCCAAGGGAAGTGCTGCCCCAAGAGAAATGCTTCTCCAAGGGAAGTACTCCTTCAAGGGAAGTGCTACTCCAAGGGAAGTGCTGCCCCAAGGGAAATGCTTCTCCAAGGGAAGTACTCCTTCAAGGAAAGTGCTCCTCCAAAGGAAGAGCTCCTCCAAGGGAAGTGCTGCCCCAAGAGAAATGCTTCTCCAAGGGAAGTACTCCTTCAAGGGAAGTGCTACTCCAAAGGAAGTGCTGCCCCAAGGGAAATGCTTCTCCAAGGGAAGTACTCCTTCAAGGAAAGTGCTCCTTCAAGGGAAGTGCTCCTCCAAGGGAAGTACTCTCTCAAGGGAAATGCTTCTGCAAGGGAAGAACTCTCTCAAGGGAAGTGCTCCTCCAAGGGAAGTACTCCTTCAAGGGAAGTGTTCCTCCAAGGGAAGTACTCCTCCAATGGAAGTGCTCCTCCAATGGAAGTGCTCCTCCAAGGGAAGTGCTGCCCCAAGGAAAATGCTTCTCCAAAGGAAGTACTCCTTCAAGGAAAGTGCTCCTCCAAGGGAAGT